TCATGAGGATTGCCTGACAAAATGTGACAAAATAAGAATTGTATAAATTTAGTAAATAAGAGATGATTAAAATGATAGTTTAAGAAAATAGGAATAGGATGATTGAAATGAGCATTTAAGGAAATAGAAATAAGAGATGATTAAAAGTGCTTATTTTTTCATTGCCTAATTATTACTATCTGGTTTTATCATTTTTAGTCATTCAGTTATAGTATTTCTATATCAGATTCATATCTATTAAAGCATAACTTGGCAGATATTTGCCAGAGTCTAGACATATCAGCAAAAGAAAATAAAACAAAACTTGTTCAAAGAATAAAAGAATTCTCATAGTATGATAGTTGTAGAGAAAATGATGAAATATTAGAAAATCTGGAAATCACAGAACAAGATATAGTTAACATAGATACTGTAGCCTCTGGCTATCATTCAGAAGTCTCAGATATATTTGATAAGGACTTGCAAACCTTGAAAGAGTCAGCAAGAAAAAGCACTAAATGTGCAAAAGATACCTCTTCAAAAACTGGTTCGCATGATAAAGAACTCAAAATGACCCTAAAACAAAACCAAATAAACTAACAAAGAAGAGAAAGTTACATAAAAGTGACAGTATATACGATTCTTTTGAAGAGAAATTATTACTAGAATTTAAAAAGTTGGAAAATGCAATGGTGAATTTTGATAACAAATTAAATATAGTAACACTTCAAGTACAAGAGACATGGCAAAAAGCAGAAATAAAGGATGCTTGGCTAAAACATAAATTTAACAAAGCATGTGACCAGCATGAGTATAACACATTGAGATCTGTTGGTAAAGAGCTTGATCTAGCAATAGTGGATAATATCACAAATTATTTAAATTTAGCAAAAGAGCAAATAGAAAGTTTACATTATGAGTAGCAGAGGGTTTTATTTGGGAAATTGCGTCAACCTACTTGATACACAAGACGATTAGTTGAAAAGTAAAAATTTACTGATTGAGAAAATGAAAGCTATCGTAGATATAAAAAAAAATAAGTAATACAAGACATAGTATTGGAAAAAGCCTCAGTTATTTTTAGAGAAAAAGTAACAATTAGCTAAATTATATTAATAAGTATCAAAGTGAGTTGCAAAATAAGTTTTTTTATCCCAGCTATCAATTCCAAAATAGTACTATGCAAAGTAAATGTTAT